GCAAGACTGTTGGGTCCGGGTCAAGGAAGATGGCGCCGGCAGCGAACATGTTGATGCCAACGCCTTGAGCCGATGCTTGCGCTTGAACGAGTCGTCTTCGAGCACGAGATGCATGGCGCGAATGTAGCGTCGTAATGGGTGACATGCTCGAGGCCAGAGGATCCCACGCCTGGACCAATCCGTCGTTACCACCAGCGACGACGTAGAGTGAGGTCAAAGCCAATGACGAAATCTCAGGAGAGTCCGTGTAGATAATGCGGAGTGGTTCAATTGTGTTAGAATATTCAGACGAACGTGAGACGGGCGACCTTACGTCCCAAACTAGGATAACACCGCTCTTTGTACCTGCTGCAAGGAATCGAGCTCGCTGCCCAGGAATATCCGCAGGTGATGCTGGCTGGCTTGCAACTGACATGGGCGACGCGTATGGCGATGAAGCTGTTGATGCTGTGGAGAACCCAAGTGCTGGATCTTCCGACAGAGTGAGCGTGGAAAAAGTCGAGTTGTCTAGCGCCGTTACGTTGAGGCGAGTACTCTTGAAGCCGCCAAAGCTGAGCTTGGAGGAACGCCACTCTTCTACAAGGCTAGCACGCTCTGGTGAGCTACTGGACGACATGTAGGAAGAGCTGCGGTTGCGCAACGGAACTTGAACGGAATCCGGCGGCGCAGCACCAGCTCCGCCGAACAATGATGGAGCCTGTGACGTTTGCGGCGTTGCAGTACGAGTCGATGTGGCCGTACTCTTGTCCTTCTCGTGCGACTTCCATCGAGTGAAGCGTATGATCTCAGCGTTGTTGCCTTCGTCAAGCCCGCAATTGAAGACGACCATGGCTTCGCCTGCATAATTTCCGTCATCGCCAGCAAAGTCAACCTCGAGGCGCCTACGCATGTCCCAGCCCAAGCAGGCCTTGCGAAATTCTTTCGGTGGTTTTCGCAAGTACTGCTGAATTTCTCTTGTCTCTGCCGCCAGCTGCTGCTTGCCAAGACACATGCCGTCCCATGACGTGCGGGGAGAGTAGCTTCCGTCAACCTCAGCATCGCTATACGGATCAGGCCTTGCGACACGTCTGCTGGGCTCGACCAGATTCCAGTAAACACTGCGTCCAGTAAGCCAAGCCAGGTACTCGGTAGGCTCTGTAATGTCGGTCGTAGTAGCTTGACTGCGAGTTGGGAACTTCGTCAGGTAGAACAGCTCACCAAGGGCATTGAGGGCCACTGCCCAGATGCGGTTCTGAGCCTGCCGTTTCGTAGAGTAGTTGTCATCCACCACGATGGACACGATTGGAACCCCAGGGCTGAGGATCCATCGAGCAGTGAGCTCGCCCTTTGCTAAGCGCGACGCCTTCACGCCGTCGGTACCAAGACTGCACGCAGTGACGACACCCGCCGCTGAGCCCATCATCATGCCAATGGTACCTTCCGAAAGTGTGGGAACCGTGTTGGATTTGGCAACCCAGACACAACAAATAGCTCCTCCATCAACACCTAGCTTCGGTATTCCAAACTCGGGATTGGTGAAGTCCAGAGGTTCGGCAATGAAACGACCGCGCATTTCGTCTGTCGCGCGGTAGTAGCAGGAGCCTTCAGGGCAGCCTTGCCCATAAATCATGCCGTGAGGTTGCGAAACGTCCATGACATTTGGACAACCTACTACCTCTCCAGAGCCAAGACCCCACTCGGCAGTACCTGGGAAGCGTTCTGAGAACTGGCTGTAGAAGTTGGGATCGCTCTGACCCCATGGGTCCACCTTGGCCACTGTTGGGTCGCTCGCAGTGACCATGCCAACGTCATCAGCACCGTGTATGAACCGCGGCTCCTTCTTGTTCAGGCCAGTGCCGAAAGAAGCATGAATATGGTTGATCGTCGTATACGTCTTAGCGTCGTAAGTCACCACTGGGTGGATGCTCTGCACCAGACCGGCGCGTGATGGGGTCGAGGTATCCTGCATAGGCTTGCCACGGACAAGGGAACGTAGCATCCTCGTACGTAGGATGTACTCGCTTCGCCATGATGCCAATGCGGTGAGCCTGGTGAACTTTCTCTTCTCAGACCGCACCATCTCGCCATTTTCCTCCAGACTCGCGTTGATGGCTGCATCCTCGAGAGCTGCAGGGCCTGGAAAGTAGCGGGCGAATGCTACCTGCCATGCGTGTGGTGTCGTAACGAGGTCGTTGAAGCGCCGGGATACAAGCGCAACGGCGGCGAGATCATTCGGCGATAGATGCGCAATGGCGTGGATTAGGATTTCGTTAGGTAGGTGCGCGATAGGGGAGCGCTTGTCATCAGGCTTTCGGACTGTCTTGGTCACCTCGAAGAGAGGCGCTTCAGGATTCCTTCGCGCTGATTTCGAAAGAGCCTTCTCGTATTCGTCGATTCTGTTCCTTGGCGGAGGTGTCGACAGTCTAAGACCTTTCAATCCCTCGGTCTCAGCATCGCCATCCGCGCTGGGCGTCCCTGAACGCGTCGCGTCGCGTGTGTCGCCACCGGACGGTGACTCAGACCTGCCTCGCGACCCACCTGAGTGAGGTTGCAGAGGAGGCTGCGGGTCATCGTCACGGCGCTGTCCATGCTGAGAGGTGAGTTGAGTTTCGGAGGCGATTGGTGGTGTGAAGGCGATTTCGGATTCGTTGGGAGACTCTGGCTGCATAAAACTGTTGGAAGGGCGGAGAGGTGTGGGAAAGCGACTGAGCTGTAAGACAGTACTCAGTCAGAGTCAGAGTATGCGTGCGCGGGGCGATTGGAGGTGTGGGTGGTGGTGGTATGAGAGGGGCAATCTTCGCGAAGTTTTGGTGAGTCCCGCGGCTGCCAAGAGCACATGCGTTGATGACGACTTGCAGAGGAAGCCAACGTGGGGCAATCGCGAACTGCACATTGGAGGTTGACCATAAGGCTCCACTCATTCAGGGTCTTTCATTCTCAAAGCGTCTACTAGTTCACTATTTCCATCGCAGGTGCTTCTTGCTGAAGTCATCCATCAGTGCGCAGCTCCAGATAGACCCAAAGTGGTAACACAACCTAACAATCCACCTGCAAAGGCAAAAAGTAACTGCTCAGGTTTTCTTGCAGTAACCCTTGTGGAAAGACCACATCATCTTCTGATGCTCCTTGTTGCAAAACCAGACGTCGCCGCAGCCGGCACACGTAAACTGAGGCTCTGGAGCTCCACAGTGCGCACACCACTTCTCAGTACGACGCTTCTCCCACCTGTCTTTGACCTTACGGGCCAGGCGGTCCATGTTGGCATCAAACATCGTGAGCATGAGAGGCAAGGTCCTTCTCTGCGCGAGATCCACGCCCTCTGCGATTCTGAGGAGTCGCTTTTCGTAGTCGGTCTTGGTGCCAAGAACGACAAGCATTTTGCCCTTCTCGCCAGGTCCACGTCCTGCTTCACCGAATTGCATGGAAGCTAGGTCCAAGACAGACATGATCTGCTCGCTTCCAGGAGCGTGGAATGCGGTGTACCAGTGCGTCATCTCAGGTTCCGTGCCAGTGTACTCGATATTGCTTTTCTGCGGTAAGCAGAGAACAGTGCTGAATTTCGGCTTGATGAGCTTGTCTACGATGACGCAGCGACTGCTGATGAAAGTAACGTACGAGACACCTGGCTGCTTATCGTTGGGCGCATGACGGATAAGGAGCTTGGTATCCTTAGGGAAGAGTTCGAAAAACTCTTTGAGGAGGACGGTCACAGCTGCGCAGGAATCGTAGGCCCGGATACGATGAAAGATGGTCTCAAGTTGCTGGTCTGAGAGTGTGGGTGGAAGGAAGTTGCGCTCCATCTTCATGGTCGTAGGCAGCTGACGCTCTCTTTAAGTTTTGACTTCATCTAGAACGATCCAGGTACGCTCGTTGTTGTTCCAGCCTTTCGGAAGCGTGCTGGGATCAGGGCTAATACTGCTTAGCTTTCTACCTGGGAATGCAATTTCTCGCAGCTTAGTGTTGACGAAACGGTCGTCGGTAGTCGCGCGCTCATAGTTGAGCAGTACGACGATGTCGACCAGGTCAAGGGGCTCGGTCGTCGTCGAGGCCATGGTTGACATTGTGTTTGACAATATTGTTGGAAGTGAGAGGGGAAAGGTTCGGTGTTTGTAGTTGCAGATCTAGGCAGCGCAGCTCACTTTCACCTTGATTTCAAATTAGTACTGCAGGGTGAGAGGCCAGGCAACAGCACGACACTTGAGGGTATTTTATTCACCGTCTCTTTGACTGCGCTGCAGTTTGTTTGAACGAACAGTTGGAATAGCTCCGTGCCAAATCTCTACGTGCTGGTTCTCCGTGCCCTCGCTCAGTGTCGTGAAGCTGTTACAGGCGCTCTACACTGCCATGCAACACATCAACGCGACAATTCTGGAACCCGAAACTTGATCAGTATTTAGCTATGCATGTGGGTAGTGACTCGAGGTGAGCAAAGATAAATTCAATATCGACGTTGTGGTATAGCAATTTTTTGCGCAAGTAGTCAACATTGCCAAAACCAACATCTTCGCGGACTCAACTTTTACATAAACACTCAGATACCAAACCCAAAATATTCCTCAATGAATGCAGATACTGTAGCCAACGGTAACTCAATAAACGAATTATGCCGCTCCATACACAATGCCGCCAGTTTCTATCACAAGTTGACTTCTACCTGAGAGAATAAGGATGGGAGAACGATTGTAGCACTGGTCACCGTCATATGGTTTTCAACATTCGCAAGCATTGTCGTATTTCGTGCGGCTGCAATTAAAGGGAGAACTCTCCCTGGCTACGAATAGGTCTGCCTAGAGCCTTTTGGCACAGCGATTGATACCTGCGCTCAGGTCAATTGCTCGTAAGTCTGGATGCATCGACGCATGTACAGTATCGAATGACGCGCACAGAATACATGCCAGAATTGCAAAAGAATCGTCCGTGTGCCGATAACTCATAGCTCTGGCGCAGTGCAGAGCGAAAGGAGTATCACAGAGGCCTTCACAAGTCCTCTGTAGGACTCCGTAGGCTCAAAAACAAAAAATGGGTCCTGCCGCGACTCGAACGCGGGGCCTCTCGCAAGAAAGCTTAGATCAATGGGCCAATCAAGGCCGCCCTAAGCGAGAATCATACCACTAGACCACAGGACCTATTAGCTCGTTGGAGCTGTTGATGGAAGTGTAGTGGTGAAGGAGCTACATGTACAGGTCCAAAATTGGAAAACCGGCGAGTTTGAACTTTTTTGCGGTCAAAATGAGACAAACAAAGGACCAGCGGGGTCCCAGGAACACAAAAAACCAACTCCGAGATCGGCATCGCGTTTGAATAGACGTGCATTGAGTTGTGACCGAGTTCGGTGCGGTGAGGGACGCGGCTCAGCCGGCAAACCAGCAAGAATCATACCACCAGCTGGATGAATATTAGACATTTGTTGTGTGACAAGGTAGTTGAACCAACTTACACCACAGGACCTTGTCTGATTTGTTGATGGGATTTTTCGAATCCATATCATATGTAAGGGGTGACTCGGCCCACAAAAACGCTAGCGAACATCGATATTCGTATTGGCCCCACATTAGTTCTGGGCTGCGGCAGAGTCCGTCTTTCTGTAGCCTTGCTTCGGAAATGTTCGAGTGTGGAGATATGATTCGATTTGACAAGTCGAATTGGTGTGTGGTGGGTTCTGGAAGTGTGGAGGCGGCGACAATGAACACTGGCCAATGCAAATGGGAACACGAACGTGGAAAGGGTGTCTGATTGTCATGTCCCAGAAGGGCCAGCCGTTTGGGTATGTTTAAACATATACAAGGTGATAATGTGGCTGGAAAGCCAGAATATAAAGACAAACGTCGATGTTCAGGGTCGAACGCCCATACCGAGGCCGACCAACTCGAAGATGATGGGATCGAGTCCTACAGCAAACCAGCCAATGCCTGCAAAGAGTTAGTACTATACATTGATGAATCGTTGTGGGAACTTACCAGTGTAGACAATCAACTTGGTAACGACTTCAACGTCGTATCTTACTCTTGGCTTTGTAAGCCTCATAAAGATTTCACGCTTCTCATCTTCTTCCTCGGTCTTCAGCGAAGTCTCGCCAGTGATGTCCGTGTCGCTATCTGGCGGCGTCACCATCTTGCCATCGAGACCTTTTATGTTGCCTGTGCCCATCATCTGCTCGTATGAGTGGACTCGAGAAGCCATTGGTGTAGGCAGCATGCCGGCGCCGAGTAGTGGCTGGCCCTTCTCGACTGCAGGCGTCACCACTTGTAATGTTGGGGAAGATGACCACTCCAGATCCTCGAGCACCGTCCCATCAGACGAGTTGACGCTCTCACGTCGCCGGCGGTTACGGTAGGCAAGCGTCTCGTAAGCGTCTGAAGCTGATTGTGGTCCGACTGAAATCGATCGTTTGCGTGGGTGGGCCAGGTTCTTGAGCATCTGAGGCAGCTGCGAAGCGGGTGGGATGACGTTGTCATCGTCGCGCATGTTGGGAATAGACGTGTACGAAGAGGCGTTAAGGAAGAAGGCGCGAGGCAAATTCATGCGCCCTCGCTCCAGCAGTCTAAACAGTGGCGGCAGTATCTTAAACAGCGTCGGCTTTGCTGTGGCTCTCCAGACGAAGATGATGACAACACCTAGTAACGTGCGCACGATTGCCTTGGGTATTCCCATCTGCGCGAGCTCGAACGGCACTGTTGATGGATACATGTCGTTGATCGCAAATCCTGACTGCGCAAAATGCCACGCTCCTATGTTGATGCCAACAACTACGCCAGAAAAAGCAACGCTGTCATCGAAGCATGGACAGTCGTCAGCTGGCTCGGGGTGGATTCGAACCAGGACAAATATGACCAACGTAGCTATGATGAGGTCCTTGTAGGTTCCACTGAAGATCCACGAGTCTATCCAGTCGCTAAAGACCAGTTGAAATACGGTGATGAGCGCGCCGAGTGTACTTCCCACCAGTACATCAAGGAAGCCATGCATACCGCAATACAGCCGTCCAACTATAATGGAGACAGCGTAGAGGTAGAACAACGCCTGCAAGCCAATGTTGACTGTGGGGCTGTATTCATCTGATTGCCGCAGCATGTATATGGCATAGAATGTGACAGAGACAGCATTCGTCGAGTGCGAGGAGGGAAAGCCGTACTCAAGCGCTGCTGAGCCAGACATGGAGATACGGGCAAGAGGCGGAGACAGCGGGCGTGGAAGACACAGCATGTCTTTGAGGAAGCCGCTCCAGTAGATCCCAGCAGCCAGCATGAACACGGTGCTGCACATGTCAGATGTCGCACTAACTTGAGGATTTGGTTGACAGGTCGCTGACGTACGCTCGCCCAAGGCTTGTATAGCCGCACCAGAACTGGATCGGCAGGAAGACCATGAAGAAGGTATGCGTCCCAAGATTGGCCGTGTAGGCGAAGTACGTGTCGAGCGCCGGCGAGCGCATGTTGTCTTGCATCCAGGCAAGCCACGGCGTCTCCCAGCGTACTATGGGAATCAGGCGATTGCGCAGGGCATTGCGCCATTTGGGCAGTCGTCGAGCATCTATTCAGCGCTCAGCTTGCGTCTCTTCCAATTGCACACAGCCGGCACGCACAGTGGTCGTGATGTCGGTTTCCCGCATCCAGCCGCTTCTCCTTCTGCGCCGGCGCTGACGTCGCAGCGGCTGTGGGTTCGAGTGCCACGCTCACGGGCACATCATGCTGGAGAAACATGGGAGCAGTCGGCGGGAGAGTGTCTCGGGGCAGACAGGGCGATCATGACCAGCGGGCGGGGTGGGATCGCGTTGCATACGCTGTGGCCGTGCTGCACATGGTAGGGATGACGGCGACCAGAATGGCGGACTAGCGCCTTCTGGTTGCCGGGGAATGACCACCTAGGCACAGCCAAGTTTATAAACACGGCGGCCCATAAGCTTCGACCACTCGCTACCATACCGCTGTCCCAGCACCCCAAAGCGCCGTTCGCATTGTTACCACATTCTGCATTCCTGCGACTATCGAACGTTAACATCTCCACACCACGCTCCTGTCTCCTGTCTCCTGTCATGGCCACCGCGCCCTCGCAAAACTACGACTACCTGCGTCGCAAGCAGAGCACAAAAGCCGCAGGAGCTACTTCGATCACACCGGTCCGCAAACCCATACGCACACCCAGCGAACGCAACAGCAATGGCACAGTCAGCTCATACGGGACATCGCAGACAAATAATACCAACATCACCGAGCCGCCGAGCTTCTCGAAGAAGCTGGTCGTAGTTGGCGATGGCGGCTGCGGAAAGACATGTCTGTTGATCAGCTACAGCTCCGGTAACTTCCCAGAGGTATGCCAGAAACGAACAACCAGTACTCTGTATCTCGCTGACTGCCACAGAAATATGTGCCAACAGTGTTTGAGAACTACATCACCCAGACACCGCATCTGCCAACGGGCAAGATGGTCGAGCTCGCTCTGTGGGATACCGCTGGGCAAGAAGAGTACGATCGCCTGCGACCGCTGTCGTACCCAGAGACGGATATCATCTTTGTTTGTTTCGCTATCGACTGCCCCAACTCGCTCGAGAACGTCATGGACAAGGTACGCTGCACAGTTCCTGCTTTAGTCGCACACACTAACTCGTCTAAGTGGTATCCCGAAGTCCTCCACTTCTGCCCCACCACACCATTGATGCTACTTGGACTCAAGTCAGATCTGCGTAACAAGAAGAACTGCATTGAGCTCCTCAAGACACAAGGTCTCACACCGGTGACACCTGAGCAAGGCCGTGCTGTCGCCAAGAAGATGGGTGCCATGTACATGGAGTGCAGTAGTAAAGAGCAGGATGGTGTTGAGGAGATCTTTGATACTGCTGTCACCATTGCGGTTGGCGACGAGTGGAAGACACCAGCAGACACACCATCGCAGAACTCCAGACCCGCCGCAGCTGGGCATCACCGGACCATCTCGACCATGTCAGACCTACCTAAGAAGAAGAAGAAGGGCAGTAAGGGGTGCACGATCCTCTAAGCTTACCCACCGCAATCGAAGGAACGGCTATCTCGACACACGACGCTGGACGACACGATCAAGATGCTTAATGACCATCTCATCACGCCTTCGATCAATTTTTGCATACTGGTAGCACCCTCTGCGTGTCAGACGCTGCTGCCATTTCTGTAGTCCTCTACACGTATATGATTTGACGGCGTTTCTGGCTGCTTTTGAGCGACTATCTGTACGACTAGGCTTCGACCCGGAAAGTCTACGTGTGCATTTTACCTTCTGTATCTGTATTCGGTATCTAGTTGGGCGCGGGCTTACCGCCGCGCGTAGGAATAAATTTTAAACATCTCCACGGGCTTCAATACCCTAATTGCTCGGTGATTTGTTAACTGACATGTTACCCCTTTTGAACAAAATTGCACCCCGTACTAGCGACACTCGCCCTACAGCAATCCACATCCTTGACATCTGACATCATATCTGCACAGCACATCTGCACAGCACATCTGCACAAGCGGGGCGGTCCTAGGTAGTTCGTTGACAGCTGTCAAGGCCTACTACATAGTGCACTAAGGTTTGTATTACCAGAATCTAGGGCAGCAGTCAATTGTTGTGCATTGTGATGCCATTGATTCCGATGTGGGTCGAGTCGAGAGGACACAAGCTACTTCGAATTCCATTCACTAAACCCTATCATCCTTCCCGCCAGATGTGTGTCGTGCTGCTTCATCGATCGACTCTGCCTTTTCTGTCAAGGCTCCTCGTCCCAGAAACCACTCTGATTTTCGGACCGTCCTCCTCTCTGCACCCTCGACTTATCCGCGGCTCGACTGAGATCTTCAGACCCGCCGAGTCGACTGCGGCAAGATCTTGATGACGACCTTGACAACCTTTTCGACCTCTGAATATAGGCTGGCAGCTGCTGATTGACCACGACTCTTACGTAGAGTCAACAAAGTGTCTTCTCACTTTTCATGCTCCGTGACTTCAGTGGCTCCCTCATGCTCAGTCTGCCCCTCCTGTGCACCCTCCTCATTCTCATTTGGGTTCTTGGCCATGACGTTTTCGAAATGGCTCCACAGCGATTCGACAGGTGCGAACTCAGTACCAACTTGGGTGACTTCTTCGAGTGAGCGGTTTAGCTTGTTCATGTTTTGGA